GCGCGCGGCCCGGGAGGTGGCGGAGGAGCGATTCCGCGGTGCGGGCGCGGCCCCCGAGCTGCTAGCCTGCAGTGGTTGCAGCTGGGAGGAGGGGATCCGGGAGCCCTCCCTCCTGCCTGCCCCGGGGCTTCCCTGGCAGTCGGGAGGGAAGCGCGGGATTGCTGACAGCGATCCCGCTCTTGCCGCTCGCTCGTGGCAAGCGGAGAGGGCCGGTCTGGCTGGGGCGTGTGCTGCTGTGGGCTCCGCTACGAGGCGGTTGGCTCTTCAGCCTCAGGGCGCCAGGTTTAACTAGGATCCGGCTGCAGGCGGGGCAGGAGGGCGGACGGTGCCACCGGGCTCCTCTGGGGGTTCTGAGTTTAGGTAGGCCTTGACAGTGGTTTGTAATGAATACAGTCTGTCACGGCTTTCGTCAGCTTGACACAAAACTAGACTACCTCGCAAGAAATCACGTCATTGCCACCAACACACTGGCTGGTAGGCATGTCTGTGCAGTGAAGGAGGGCACGGCCCGACGTGGGCTGTACCACCCCCGGGCCTGAGGGTCTGGGGTGGCTGAACTTGATTGAGCCTGGGATCAAGTCAGAAAGCAACGCTCCTATAGTTCCTGCTTCTACTGCTTAAGTTCATTCCTTAGCTTCCCGCAGTGGCCGACTGTGCAAACCAAATTAACCCCTTCCTTCTCAAGTTGGTTTTGGTCAGTTTTATCATAGAAAGCAAACTAGGCAGTGGCCAAATGAACCGTTTGATAATTAAAGTTTTGTACTTGAGCAGAATCATCTTTGTGGATTCCTTAGCTAAGGGAATTCTCCCCACAATGTCTTTCTTGGTTTGGAGTGATGGGGCTCTGGTTTTAGGGAAAGTCAGGGGTGGTGGCATAGTGGAACGGCAGGTGACAATCGCAGAGGCAGAGAAATCACAGGATTGAGGAGAAGCAGATTAGGGTGCTGGTAGGGGTGGGAAGCAGGTGGCCAGGGTAGGGAGGTTGTGCAGTCATTGGTTTGGAGATTGGTGGAACAGGAGGACACCATGCTCAGCAGGGGAGCATTAAAGGTGTGGAAGGGCGTCTGTCCAACAAGGGGAGGTGGAGTTGTGGAGAGTGAAGAAAGGTGTGGGGAAGAAAACCAGTTAGGATATCAGAAGAGGTATGAGAAGAGGATCCAAGAGGAAGGTGTGGTCACTCTGGTCCTCAGGAACCTGGCAGATGTTGGGTGGCTGAATAGCATCTGTCGGGTGTATCCTTGGGCGTTACAAAGGCTGGGAAGAGGGGAGCTGTCTCATAGTTACTGAGGCAATAGTTACTGAGTTTTATAAGGCCATCTGATTTGATTTTCATGTTACTTTCCTTTTAGTAATTATGGACAAATACCAGGAGCAGCCTCACCTCCTGGACCCACACCTTGGTAAGCATAGAAGCTGGTGATTTTGATGGTTCAATAAATCAGACCACCATAAAGGTCTTGTGTGTCCTGCTGGCACCTCTGTGTGTTACCCACAGAAGGTGTGAGATGAAGTGTCTCTAGAGCTGTCTTTTTTTTTTCTCTGCCATTTGGCTTTATGGACCTGTGATATGAATAGCTGGAAGTTCAGCTATCAATCTAGACTATGTGCAGATGGGTCTAAGCTACTTTCTACTTGTTGCTATTTAAAGAATACGTCTTTTCTTCTTATGCGTGTTTTAGTTTGTTATGTGAACAGCTGTTATCTTCCTGGTAACTGTCCTGTAGGATCAAAGGTTCCATTTTATCCACACAGCAGTTGATGAGGTCATCTTTCAGCTCCATTTTACAGATAGAGACACTGAGGCTTGGTCTCATGTCTTTAGTATAAGGAGAGTGTTACACAGGGTTATCCTCTGAGCCAGACAGCCACCATCTGTGGAGCTCAGCTGTGTACACTTGCAAGAGATTATCCCAGCTGGGCTTGTTGAGTGTTTACACCCCCTCATATGGAGGCAGGAGGTGTTAATAGACCCTTATCTGAGTACCCTGGCTCTCTACCACCTGTTGCATACTACGCTACCATAATTGCAGGTGGCCTTGGGGAGGGCCTAAACTCTAGGTTCTGAACATGTGGGTCTCAACCCCCATAGGAGTCACATATTAGATACCCTGAAGATCAGATAATTATATTATGATTCATAACAATAAAATTACAGTTATGAAGTAACAATGAAATGATTTAATGGTTGGGGTCACCACAACATAGGAACTGTATTAAAGGGTTGCAGCATTAGGAAGGTTGAGTACCACTGTTTTCTAATATATATATATTAGAAAAAAATATATGTTAGAGTATATATAACATATTATTCTCTATATATTATATACTGTTCTCTCTATATATGTATACTCTAGGCCCTAGACTAGGGGAGGGAGACTCCCATCTATGTGGCTATGTGAAAGCCATTGTCCCTGTTAGGTAAAGACTTTTTTGGGGAGGCACCCTCACTCCAGTAAGTAACGCCTCATCCATGCTCTGTAAAAAAGCCTATACTCATAGGTTCCCTAGAGTGAACTTTGATGGACTAGTACCTTGGTCTGTTCTTGAGATCTTACAGGAGGGGTAGATATTGCTTGCATCTACCCCTAGGAAGGAAATTTTGTTTGCTTTTCATTGCTTTCATTATATTTGAACCTATTTTATATTAATTACATTTTTGTTTGGATCTTTTCTTCTGTTTTGAGACAGAGTATTGTATTGTAGCCCTGGCCTGCCTTAAATTCATGGCAGTTCTCCAGCCTAGACCTCCCAAGTGCTGGGATTACAGATATTACTACTCCTGGTTTGGTTTTTCTTTTTTTGAGGTTGGGTCTTGTGTATATTGCCTGGGCTGGCTTCAAGTACTCTTGGTAATTTATTTTTTATTTTTTGTCCTGTTCTTTTTTTTTTTTTCTGTGTGTGTGTGTGTGTGTGTGTGTGTGTGTGTAAGAATGTGTGTGATCCAACTGATTTGATAATTGTAGTAACCACACAGTCCCCATGGAAGGTCATTTATCCTAAGCTACTCTATACGAATGGAGAAATTGAAGCACAGGTCTGAGGGGTTAATTAACTTGTTCCATGCTGCACGGTTGATGAGACTGTAGGCAGGATTTAAACACCTCTTTCCCTGAGCCTCTTGAAGATGGGTCTTTGAAGGGACCAGTTGGAGGCAAGTGGTTGATGTCAGACTGAAGGGCTGGCTATGCTGAGAGTGGCAGAATAGTGGGTGTTCTAGGCCTCATCTGATATTTTTGGATTCCTAGTTGTCCCCATGGAACAGATGTGGGCACTGTCCAAGACATGAAAGGAACGGTTTGGCCTCTTCTGGTGATAGCTTTGAACCTCTGCCCTTATTGACAGTCCCTCTATGCTGTGGAGCCCAGAGTGTGATCATCCATTCATCCAGCCAGCCAGCTCTGGCTGTCCTGGAACTCACTCTGTAGAACAGGCTGGCCTGGAACTCACAGAGATTCCCCTGCCTCTGTCTCCCAAGTGCTGGGATTTTAATTCACCACCGTCTGGTGCCATCTAGTGCTTAATGACTTTTATTGTTCATTGTCTTCTGGGAAATAGAAATAGGTCCCTTTTTGATAAAGATGATGCTTGCTTGCTTGTGTTGATTCTTTCCTGTGCAGGGCACATTTTGTGACTCCATTTTTGCCTTTCAATGTTATGTGTCGTGTGTTATCTATTGAAGTTTAATATATTTGAGTTCGAATGTTATCAGTCTCTTCTTTTTCTTCTTTTTGTCTTTCTTTCTTTCATTTTTTGTCTTTTGTTTCTGAGGCAGGGTTTCATTGTATGGCCTAGACTGGCTTTGAACTTATGATCTTCCTGGCTTAGCCTGCTGCTATGCTGTAGGCCTCTGCTACCAAGCTCAGTCTCTTCCTTTGTGTTTGATCTTTGCTAGTAAGCCCAGAATCTAACTCTTTTTAACTGATGATGTGAGCCTTATTAACTGAGTGATTTAGCAGCCCTTACCCCTTGTGAAATATGTTTTTTAATATAATTTTTATTTCTATGTACATGTGCATGTGTCAGTTCTTGGAGTTGCAGGCAGTCGTTAGCTATCCAATGTGGATTCTGGGAACCAAACTTGGGTCCTCTGCAAGAGCAGCAAGCTATAGCATGATTTCTAATTGGTATTAATAATAAAAACCCAGAGACAGATATTGGGGTTAAAGCTTAAGATCAGAGAAGCAAAGAGGCCAGCTACTACAGAGTTCTCACCTCTGCCAATGCTCAGACTAAAAGGGTGGTCCTGTCCTCAGACTGCATCTGTCTCCACCAACCCTCAAACTGCCCTATTCTCCTGTCCCCTGTCTTATATTCCTTTAGTGCTGGGATTAAAGGCATGAGATCACCTTTGTATGAGCTCTGTTTCTCTTGTAGACTGGATCAATTTCATGTAGCTCAGGGTGTCCTTGAAATAACTGAGATCCATTTGCCTCTGTCTCCTGAGTGCTGGGATTAAAGGTGTGTGCCACCACTGCCTGACCTCTATGGCTAGCTAGTGTGGCTAGCTTTGCATTCTGATCTTCAGGCAAGCTTTATTTATTAGATCATAAACAAAATATCACCACAGCAAACACTCTTAACTCTTAGCCAACTCTCCAGCTCTGAAATACCATTTTAAGTCTGTATTTAGTACTCATACATACTCGCTTGTATTTTAGACTTATGTTCTGTTTCATTTGTCCCTGTATATACTTTTTTTCCCCCTGTGTCATTTGTTTTTGTTAGTTGCTTTTATGGTGTACTTTGTCTAGCATCATTTCTATTTATTTTACTATTTCTAGTCCTTTCATTAGTGCAGATAAACTTCACCATTTGTTCAATTCACAGATTCATACAGATATTTTTTTTAATGAGATTCTGATTGATTAGGCTGCTATGAATAATGTTGCTTTAAACTTGCATGTACCATCTTTGGGCAGACATGTTTTTGTTTTTCTTAGGTGACTTTTCTTTTTTTTAAGCGAAATCTCAGTTATGTTTATAAACTTTAGCTGCTGTTTGCAAGTTGTCTAAAAATCAGTGCCATCTGCAAATGGGCTAGAGAATCAGCAGCCTTTGAGAATGGCTGCTTGCATATTGCTGCTCACATGTATTAGGTGACTTTCTTAAGAGTGGAATTTCTGGGTTGTATAGTAAATGTGTGTCTTGTAATAAAATGTCATACTATTCTATAAAAGGTAGTCATTATGCATCCTCACCAGCAATGTATGAGGATCCCTGATGTTTTAGCCTCTCTAGTCAGCCTGTCTGGTTTCAGTGGGAAATAGTCTCACCCACTGTGCATTTGTTAGGTGCAGTCTTTTTTTATTAAGAATATGACACAGCTTATAGTCTGCTTTGTTGAATCTTCCATTATATTTGAAAAAAAAGTTTGTTATACTGCTAGTTGGACTAAGGTGAATGATAGTGTTGTTAGTATCCTTAATGATTTTCTATTTCTGCTTTTTGTTTTTGCTTTATTTTGGTGTTCTGGGATTTGTTGTATCACTCACTGAATCATTTAGTCTTTACTGAATTGATCTTTGTAATTAGAAATGTCCTCTAGAAGCTGGGAAGTGGTGGCGCACACCTTTAATCCCAGCACTCCGGAGGCAGAGGCAGGTGGATCTCTGTGATTTTGAGACCAACCTGGTCTACAAAGCGAGTTCCAGGACAGCCTCCAAAGCCACAGAGAAACCCTGTCTCAAAAAAACCAAAAAAGAAAGAAAAAAGAAAAAAGTCCTCTAGGTTTTGTAATGCTATTGGTTCTTAAGTCTCTCCTGATAGCAAATGCTCTGTGTGTGTCTTCTTTTTTGTCTGGATTTAGCCTTCAAGTACTTGTCTTCCAATAGCCATTAGGGTATTTTTATTTGGTAATGCTGACACATGACTAGGTTTAATCAACTCTGTCGAGACTTACTTTCTCTTAATCCCATTTCCTTTTGGGTTCTTTCTTCCTTTTTTATTTTTACTCTATTGCTTTATTTTGTATCAATTTAATAGCTTTTGGTGTTTATTTATTTTGAGACAGGGTCTCACTTTGTAGTCTTGGCCTTTTTGGAACTTGTTATGTAGACCAGGCTGGCCTTAAACTCACAGAGATCCACTTGCTTCTGCCTTTGAGTGCTGGGATTAAAAGGCTCCTGTCACTGTCTTGATGTTTTATTTTATCTTCAGTATGTGCTCAGTAGTTTTTCTTTTTTTTTCTTTTTTTCCAGGATTTATCATATGTACCCTGAACTTACCTCAGTGTGCCCTCAAATAGTACACATTTCATGCATGGTGGGGAAACTTTCAGAAGAGTCTGTGTTTCTTCCTCCTGTTGTTTGTCACACAACTTGCTACCGTTGTCACACAACTTGCTTTCATACTTGTTACAAGTTTTACCTTAAACACTTAATTTTTAAATAAAAGATTTATTTTTATTTTATGTGCATGGAGTTTTGCTTGCAAGTATGTCTGTGTACCCATGTGTGCAGCGCTTTTGTAGGTATGAAGAGGGCATTGGACTCCTTGCAGCTGCAGTTACAGATGGGGTGAGCCACCACGTTGGTGCTGGGAATCAAACCCTGATCTTTTGGAAGAGCAGTAGGCAGTGCTTCTAACTGCTGGGTCATCTCTTTAGGCCCTGAATTTTTTTTTTTTTTTTAAGATTTTACTTTTAATTATGTGTATATATGTGAATATGTGCAGGTGCCTGTGGAGGCTTGAAAGACTGGAGCTAGAGTTGCAGGGGAACTAAATCCTAGTCTCTGAAAAATCAGTAAGTGCTCTTAACTGCCATCTCTCAAAATGACACTCAAATGTTTTTTTAAAGAAATAAAAAATGGGGCCGGGCATGGTAGTGCACCCCTTTAGTCCAAGTACTAGGGAGGCAGAGGAAGGCAGATCTCTGTGAGTTCAAGGACAGTGTGATCTATACAGGGAATTTCAGACCAGCTAGCACTATATGGTGAGATCATGTCTTCAAAAAACCAACCAACCAACAAACAAACTCTAACCAAACAAACAAAAAAAAAAAAAAAAAAAAAAAAAAAAAAAAGAAAGAAAAAACCCACAAAACATACAACAACAAAAAGAAATAGAAAGTGAGGAACACTATAATCTTTGTGTATTTATCCTTTAAAATATGGCCTTTATAAAGCAAAGAGTATGCCTTTTAATTCATGATGACAGTGCTAGGTCTCCAAGACCACCTCACGTCCATGGTGCCCTAGAAAGACTTGACAGGACACAACACAGTCTTGCTTGTGCTGAGGATGTGGTTGGTGGTGTGTAAGGGTCTATTTTGTCACTGGATTGGTAGGGAGGCCAGTAGAGTGGTCAGTGGAGTATGGCTGGAACTCTTATGTTACACACTGTCAGCTAACAGCCTGTTAGAGTCTTTTCTCCTTCTCTCTGTGCCCTGCCTTGTATTAACCTCTCCTTGTACTGGGTTCTGGCCTTTGTACAGACAGGAGAAGGCTGTACCCTGAGTGACCCTTATCTTCCTCTTTTTTTTCTGTCTCACTGCATTAGTTCAACCTATACTGCTGCTAAATCAGAGCAGTTTTAACAGGTGTCATCTGTAAAACATGGTATCAGATACCAATTTTAGATATTTTCCCTGTATTTTAAAAATAGGAGTGAGTGTTAAGGTGTGTACTTTTTTTTTTTTTTTCAGAGATGGCTGAGATGGACATGCACTTCTTTGCTGTATTGATACTTGGTTAAATAGGCTTGCTAAACGGAAGCATTTTTATGTCCTAAAGAAAACCGTTTTCATTTCCCTGTTGATGTTTAATTTATGGCAAGTATTTCATATCTGTTTTTCCCTAGAGTGGATGATGAACTCATTGTTGGACCTAGTACAGGATGAGGCATCTCCGCCTGCCCTCGTGCATCTGGCTTTTAAATTTCTCTATATCATCACCAAGGTAACATTTGTACAGCACTATAGAGTGGACAGATACTTTCTCATCTAATTGCTTTAGAAGTTAACCCCTTAAGTGTTATTTCTTGGGGAACATGGTTCTTCAGCACAAGTTGTGGGTTTTCATTTCCTATTTAGTATGTTTTGGGTCTTGGGTCTTAGTGATCTTGGGTTCTTTAGCTAGAATAAGGAAAAAGCAGAAAAGCTCGATGGAAATAGAGAAGTAGAAGTGCCCTCCCCCCAGTCCTTCCCCTGCAACAGGGTCTCAACTATGTAGCTCTGACTGTCCTGGAACTCACTATGTAGACCAGACTGGCCTTGAACTCAGAGATTCATCTGCCTCTGCCTCCTGAGTGCTGAGATTAAAGGTGTGCTTACCACACCCAGCAATAGAAGTTCTTGTATGCCGCAGTATGGCAATGGACTTACTGGGGAGTCTTATGCTGCACCTCTGGGGAAGAAGGTCTAGGGCTGATGATATGCTTTCTCTGCAAGTTCTCTGGTGATGCCCATGTTCTGGCCACAGACTTAGAGACCAGGGAGTGACTTGGAGTCATTTCTATGGGAAGTTTGTGAGAATCAGGGAACATGTTCGAGCATTATTCCTGTGTAGTAGGATGAGGCCTTTGGTTGTTGGGATAGCGCTGCATGTCTTACGGAAGTGTTGGTGGGGCCATTTGAGGTGCATAGGAACTTCGTTTTCATAAATGTCAAAGAGTAATCTCTGAACAGGGTAGAAGCAGAAGTTTTCAGTTTGTAACATACTTACATCTCTGATGTACTCAGTATGATTTGTTAGCCAAATTGGAACAGAGCATATTGAATAAAGAAAGAAGAAGGAAAGCAAGAAAGAAACCTTTCTAGTCCCTTTGATCTTGTGGAGTTGCATCACTGCGGTGTGACACAATTCAATCTTCAGGGGGCAGAGACGATAGTTTTTGATGAAAGCATCAAGGCAACTTTGCTGTTCTTTCTGTTTTCTGATTATATAGTGTAGTCTACATTCTTTATATTCTGATGTCTTTTTATTTGGCAGGTTCGTGGATATAAAGTATTTCTGCGTCTATTTCCTCATGAAGTAGCTGATGTTCAGCCTGTGTTAGATATGTTCACAGGTCAGAATCCTAAAGACCATGAGGTGAGTTCTTCTCAAGCCCTCCCTGCCGCCTCATTGTCACTGGCAACTCTACCTTTCAACTTTTATTGGTTTTATCTTAGGCTATTTTTTAAAAAAAATCTTTTGCTGCTTCTTTAGCTTCTACACATGTTGCTTTAAGATACTCTCTTAGAATTTATTCTTTATAAAGCAAAGAGTATGCCTTTTAACTCAGTGTGACTGTGCTAGGTCTCCAAGACTATCACAGGTTCATAGTGCCCTAGGAAGACTTAAAGGCATAGCACAGTGTGCTGTTTATAGTGAGAGTGGGGCTGATGGTGTCTGAGGGCCTGTGGTGTACATTGGGTTGGTGGGAAGCAATAGGATGGCCAGGGAGTGTGGTTGGATGTTGTTCTCTGTCTCTTGAATTATTATTTGGGATTATTATAGATTCTTGTTATGTAGCCCAGACTAACCTAGAACTTACTTTACGGTATGGGCTGGCTTTGAACTTGAGATCCTCATGACTCAGCCTCCTGAATGCTGGGATTACATTTGAGTGGGTGCCAATATGCCGGGCAGCTTTTTCTTTTCTTTACTTTCCTTTTTGAGATCAGGTGTTACTGTTTAGCCCTGGCCTTCGAGTCTTGTATACTGGAATCATTCTGACTGTGATTTAACTCTTTAGACATGGGAAACGAGATACATGCTTTTATTGTGGCTCTCTGTGACCTGCTTGATCCCTTTTGATTTTTCACGCCTTGATGGGAATCTCCCCACTCAACCTGGAGAAACACGAATACCCATAATGGACCGCATTCTGCAAATAGCAAAGGTGATTATGATGACACAGACCTTTAACAATTAATTGTGCTCTTGTTCATGCTTATGTTGTCTGAAATTAGTTTAGCTAGTTAAACTTTTGATGTATATATTTATATTTGCTTTGACTAACATTACTGCTGTCAGTGATAACTCAGCTTACTTTGGGTAAAATTCCACCTCAGCTTACTTTGAAATTGTGATAAACTGTGTAGAGATTAGATGCCTGGCTTCTATGGCTTGTAGCTGACTTTGCTTTCTCAGGAAAGCTTTAATAAATCATAGATTATATATCACTAAAATGTTAGGGAAACTATTCATTTTGCACTTAATTTTGAATATTGTATAAGTACTACATAATTGTAAGAAATCTAGAAAATAAAGAAAAGAATACTAAATTGGAATTTGTCAAATTCTTGCAGTCCTATTTGGTGGTCAGTGACAAGGCTCGAGATGCAGCTGCTGTCCTTGTGTCCAAGTAAGTCTTGTTGGCTGTGTGGGGCTGTTGACTGAGATGTGCCTGAGATGTGAGTTTGAGGTCAGCCTGGCCTACAGAGCAAATTCCAAGACAAGCTTCAAAGCTACACAGCGAAACCCTGTCTCAAAAAAAAAAAAAAAAAAAAACTAGCTGCTCTTCCAGAGAACCTGGGTTCAATTCCCAGCACCCACATGGTGGCTCACAAGTGTGTGTAGCTCCAATTCCAGAGGATCTGATACCCTCACACAGACATACATGCAGGCAAAACACTATAAAAAAGAAATAAAAATTTAAAAACCATTAGAAAATATTATTCTTGGAGAATTTCATACAATGGATTTTGATCATATTTATTCCTTTATTTATTTATTTTATTATTTATTTGTTTTTTCGAGACAGGGTTTCTCTGTATTGCTTTGGAACCTGTAGACCAGGCTGGCCTTGAACTCACAGAGATCCGCCGGCTCTGCCTCCTGAGTGCTGGGATTAAAGGCGTGCGCCACCAACGCCTGGGTTGATCATATTTACTCCTTAATACTCTCCCTAAGTTCTCCCAACTTCACACATTCCTTCCTACTCTTATGCAACACTCTTCCTGGAGAGACCTGAACCAGTGTCTACTCACTTGTTAATAATGACGATCAAAGTATGGATGACACCGAAGTCCAGCTTGTTAACTAGTGAGTTTTATTGTGGTTACTTACAGGTACATGGGTGAGGGTTTATTTACAGGAACAGAAACAACTCAAACACAGCTTCGCCACCAAAGCTCACTCCAGTGTAGTTGACAGCTTAAGAAACTTGGAGCACACTACATAATCTGTAGGCTGCTCAACAGGTTAGAAACTGTGTTTTCCAGGAAACTCAGTTACCCGAGCCCTTCCACGCAGCTTGTTTGTCTAAGAATGTCTTCTATGTGCTTGGGGAGGGAGGACCCCAGTGAATGTGGTCAGGGTTAGGACTTGCTGAGCTAAGGAGTGTTATGTAGGGTGGAGTACTCACCTTCCTTTAGAACATCTTGTTTCACTTCCTTAACATTTTGTGCCCTTTTCTTGTTTTAGATTTAATTCTTTTTCTTAAAATATGGTTTATTTAATTGGTATTTTATGTGTATAGGTGTTTTGCATGCATCTGTGTCTTTATACCTTGTGTGTGCATTGTTTGGTGGTCAGAAGGAGGTGTTGAATTCTGTGGAATTAGAGTTACATATGGCTGATCCACCGTGTGGGCCCTGGGAATGCAACCCTTGGTTCTTTGAAGAGCAGCCAGAGCTCTTAACCTCTGAGCCATCTCTCCAGCTCCAGCATCATTCTGTGTCTTGATATATATGGATTTATCTGGGAGGAAATTAATACACAAAACCTACTCTCCCACAGTTTGTATCCTTTTTTTTTTTTTTTTTAAAAAAAAACAAAAACAAATAAAAACCTATGGAGGCCAATTTGTGTGTTGCCCATATATCCATGGGTATGGGGTTATCCACTGGCGCTTGGTCAACCTTCCAGGGTCCACACCCTTAAAGAGGACTGATTTTTCCCTCCTCCAGAAGCCATCAACTGTCTATATAGCTCCTCAGTTAGGTGCTGGTACTCATGAGCCCCTTCCCTCTTCATGGTATAGTGTTGACTAGCTTGATTGTGCACGCTGTGTGCAGGCAGCTAAATAGCTACTGTGAGTTCATGAGTGGTCATGTCATGTCCAGAAGACATGCACGTTCGAGTACGTGTGCGTGTGCGTGTGCGTGTGCGTGTGCGTGTGTGTGTGTGTGTGTGTGTTATAGCTATCCCATCTGTGACTGAGCAGTCCATTGGTGCTTATTCTCTGCACTTTGACAGCTTTGAGTTTCTGTATTAACTACCATCCACTGCACGGAGGTCTGAGAGCTGCCCTAAAATATGGGCAAAGAGATATGAATTTAGAGGACAGTTTGATAATATGTATACTTAGCAGGATAATATAGTAGGTTCATCCTTGGGCCCTGTGAACTCCCCAGCCATCAGTTCTTCACATTTACAGTAGCAGGCATGTGTTTCGTCTTAATGGATTGGGTCTTGGATCCAATCAGAAAGCAGTCCGTTATAACTCATGTCACTATTGTACCTCTGGGCATGTCTTGCTATTCTGCTCAGTGTTATAGTTTACTATGGTGATACTTTGTTTATGATCAGAGTGCAAAGCTAGCCATACTAGTTAGCCATAGAGGCCAGGGCAGTGGTGGCGCACACCTTTAGTCTTAGCACTTGGGAGACAGAGGCAGGACAGATCTCTGTTAGTTCAAGGCCAGCCTGAGCTGTATGAAATTGATCAGTCTAAAAGAGAAACAGCTCACACAAAGGTGATCCCAGCACTTGGAGTGACATGCCCTTAATCCCAACACTCAGGAGGTGGAGACAGGAGTGATATGGCTGGGCGGAGAGAGGAATATAAGGCAGGAGGAGATGAGAAGAATGCAGTCTGAGCAGAAGTGCAATCTGAGGACCAGTTCAGTCTCAGGAGTCTGAGGAGGCAGTCTGAAGTCAGGGTCGCCGCTTTGGACTGAGCATTGGTAGAGGCGAGAACTCTCTAGAGGCTGAATGGTTTGCTTCTCTGATCTTCAGCTTTAACCCCAATAGTCGACTCTGAGTTACTGTTATTAAGAACAGTTAGAATTCGTGCTACAGTTTATAGGGTTCAAGGCTGGGTAAGATTGTTGGTGACTCTCCCACCAATCCTCAGCCACCTACATAGTAACTTTGAGTACTATAGAAGCTAGTCAGCAGTGAGGAAACTTCCTGGTCAGTATAATCTTAATTTCTCCATGTCCTGTGACCATTGTGTGTGGTGTCTTCAGCAATAGGATCTTACCATCAAAGTTATGTGGGCAACCAAGACTAATGACAATGCCTGTGTTGCTTTTAGGATCTCTGATCAACAATGTGAATAACTGTATTGAAGAGTCACAGCATTAGGAAGGTTGAGAATCACTGTTCTGAATGTTGTTTAAAGGCATATTTACAACACCTGGAAGTTGGTACTAGGAATTTTATTTAGTAAAGTGTGACTTCTGGTAGATGTTAGGATTCCTAATGATGTGATTTTAAATACGTGCATTGTTACCTAAGTTAGAAATTTCAACATTTTCCCTCTTGAATTGTTGAAAGTTGTTTGTAAAGTCTTGTGGTTGTTTTAATTCGATAATGGTTGGTGCCTCAAATAAGGGATGACTGTATCTTTAAGGTATTCACCTCTGTAAAGTGGGAAGAGACACTTTTTTTTTGGTAGTTGACAACCTTGGATGTCATGTTAGAAGGCATGACCAATAATGAGGTATGGGTCCCAAGAAGGCAAGAGAGGAGAGGAATACTTTAGTCCCCTGGAATTGGCAAGGCCTCTTTGTGAGACAGTTTTGCTATGTAACTCTGGCTGTCCTGGAACTCAGGCTGGGATTAAATGTATGTGCCACTATTCCCAGCTGAGGCCTCTTAGAGGCTCCTCACATTGGAGGGAAAATCTCTGTCCTTTATCAAGGTCTGAAAAGATGACAACTTTATAATTTTAAAAGTGTTAACCTTTCATTGCTGTGGAAAGATGCCTGAGAAGAGTCAAAGGAGGAAAGGCTTCTTTAGGCTCATAGTTTTATAGGTCTTTAGTACATGGTACATCTATCTTAGTCATTGGTCTACCTCTGTGAAGGAGGAAAAGAACTTTGGGCCTGTGCCGTGTCTGTCAGAATTTAACAGAGAGGAGAGTTGCTGACCTCATGGTATCTGGGTAGTAGAGAGGGATGGACATACTGACAGGCCGGCCAGGGACAAAATATAACCCTCTCAGGGAATATCTGATGTATTTTCTCCAACTAGGCTGGCATGTACTATCAATAATGCCATCAAATTATGAACCCACTAGGGGATTAGTTTCTGCTGAGTTTAGAGCATTCCTGATCCAGTCAGTCACTTCTGAGAAGCCCCATCAGCCAGGATCCTTCAGGCTATTTTTGTTTTTGTTTTTGTTTTTTTGTTTTTTGAGACAGGTTTTCTCTATTGTTTTGTAGCCTATCCTGGCACTTGCTCAGGAGACCAGGCTGGCTTCGAACTCACAGAGATCCGCCTGTCTCTGCCTCCCGACTGCTGGGATTAAAGGTGTGCGCTGCCAACGCCCAGCCTCCTTCAGGCTATTTTTGTTTTGGTTTTTGTTTTTTTGTTTTTTGAGACAGGATTTCTCTATTGTTTTGTAGCCTATCCTGGCCCTTGCTCAGGAGACCAGGCTGGCTTCGACCTCACAGAGATCCGCCTGTCTCCGCCTCCCGAGTGCTGGGATTAAAGGTGTGCGCTGCCAACGCCCAGCCTCCTTCAGGCTATTTCAGATTCAAACCGAAATAAAAGGAATCCATACATTTTGAAGACTGTAAGCCATGTCTTCTTTCTTGCTCTGGGAGGTGTAGCTGTTTGTATTCTGGAGCATGTCTGGTGTTCACATGTTCTCTTTGAGACACTGGACCCGAATACCCCTGGGACTTTAATATCTACGTCTTTTCCTGACGTAGATATTATAGCTGGACATGTAGATGGCCTTCTTCCTATTTGGTTACCAAGATTAACATGGCCATTCCTGAATATTCCACCTAAACACTTTATACTATTCTCTTCTGATTGATTTCATTGAATGAATTCCTGTAAGTGGGGTGGTTTTTTTTTGGGGGGGGTAAGTTTAAAATACAGTCACTGTAAATTGAAGGCTCCCTTTTCAGTTATTTGCCAGCTGGGTGAGACTTTGTGAATGTTTTTTTAACTTTGTTAAATGAAAACTATTGTCTTTTTAAAAAATTAAAAAAAATACATTTAGTAAAAATATTACATTTAATTATTTACTGCACATGTGTGTACGTGTGTGTACTTTTATCTACTGAGCCATTTCGCCAGCCTTATTGTCTACCCTGTATTTCTTATTACTAAACACACTGATGGTGGTAGATTTATGCCAAGCTTTACTCCATGGAGTATCTGTGGGCCACAGAAGGTAAA